GTGGTAAGTCTTTATTTTCCACTCTTTTCCATTTTAAGAAAAAAAAAAAAAAAAAGGTCCATATATATATATAGATTACGGGTCTTCCTATTATAGAAAGTCAGAGCGTAAACAATTTTAATCACTGGACTGCGGAATTTTATGGCGAATCGCGACAATTTTGCCGCCCATTTAATCTCTTAGCTGCAAATGACGAGTATACTCGCCATGAAGAAATATTCTTCTACTTAAATTAAATTTTTTATGGAGAACGAAGTATATTTATAAATTTTAGACATTTTAGAATATTTTGAGACTAGACCTGACTAAGTTATTGCTACTAATACTTGCTATTAATATTAATTATTTCTATTATTAATTAATATTAATTAAGTTGAACAAGAAAATTATGAATTTTTCAAACAAAATTAGCATTATTTCCTTATAATTTAGTTCAATTTTACAGCACACATTCTACGTTTGACGAGTATAATCGTCATCGCGGCACACTTTTAAAAGCGGCACCACAGCTAAGAGATTAAGGAGAAACGTAAAAGTCATCGGTTTCCTGAGACGTGCTGCTCAATCTATATCTAATCCGCTACGATTTCCAACGAGATAATGACAGATTTACAACGCGAGTTCGGCTAGGCAACACGTGTACATACACACAATTACAGACACGAAGAGAAAGGGTTGCGTCGCAAGGTAGCTCGCGGAGTGTCACTGTCGAGATCCCGCGACTTGATCGCGACCCGAACGCCTGGACCGTGATTAACGAGACTACGGGTCGCTTGCTTCGCGATAACTTTGTCGATTGTGATCTCACGAGTCAATACAGTGTGTTCTACGAGGACCACGGCCTCCCAAACAGGAATCAGCTAAAAGCTAATTGCCCTCGACCAGACTCGTTGTCGCGAACCATTTATCTTGTATCTTCGCGAAAGCATTCGGTCTGCACGCGACTGTCTTACGAACTCAAAGCAAATCAATTGCTCGTCAATTTTTATTTTACTTTCTTTTTTTAGATTTCACGTGACATTTGAGAAATTGCAAAATGTGCGTTTAATAAAAAATTAGTAAACACATTAGCGTATGAAGATTTTTATCGGCTTGAATCGCATTAAAAAAACATGTATAGTAAGTATAAAATTTCGCAAAATACAATTAACGCGACAAAATGGTCAAAGAATATAACTTTATAAAATTTTGTGATTTGTAAAACAATTTTCTATATTTTTGTAATAATATTCTCTAATAAAGTCTAAATTTGCACAAAGATCGACAGACTAATTACTAATGCAAAAATTTGCGAACGTCAATGACGTTATTAACAGACAGCGAATTTTTATGCAATTTCATATTTTAGCGAAGGCAATTAAAGAAATAGAGTCTAAAGAGCGGAAGCTTTTTTCCACTAGTAAACAACTTCCGACATTTCTTACAGTGTGCATTCTCTGTATCTTGAAATTTCTCACAAGTGCATGACACTTAGAATCTAGAATGTGCTGCTTTTAACGTAGATTATCAGGGACTAATCAAAGGTTAATTGTTAATGCGTCCGTCATAACGCCATATCCATTTACATTTATATTGCACGTATGCTACTTTATCGCTTCTGCATTGACTATCGCTATCGATATCTCATCGCCCGTTTAATCACGGACGGTTGGATAATTCACTACGACGATCGTTTCTCCCCAGTTTCTGTGCGACGATCTGAGAAAATCATTGACAGGCGAGGCAAATTTATGCGGCTGACTCGAAGGTACTCGCCGATCGACATTTTCTCGGCACGCAGGCAACGTCGAGGCGGTTTGGGTCAAGGCGTTCATCAAACCGCGCATTGTTCTTCACCGTAGCGAAAGTGCGCATACGATTATCGTCCATTTATCCCCGACGCTCGTTTAGAATGATGCATATGCGCCTGCACGCTCGCCAGATACGAACCTGACGATCGTTCCGTCGCGGATGGAATCGCTGGAATCTGCGAGAAATTCTACGACCCGATACGCTCAGCGGCGACCTAACAGCGTAACGCGATAAAACTTTTGATCCCGCGTGTTCGGAACGAATCATTTTTCAGATCAACGACCATTTCTTTGCCCCCGGTGGAATGCCCGACCAATCCCGACGAGGATATTCCGCCGTACCGAGGAATTTCACCGAAGCATCCCGGAGTCGAATGACTTCCTTACTACTAAAACCACGTTTGACCTCGGTATTTGAGGCTTAGGGAGCAGTGAGGCAAGGATCACTGTAGAAACCAAGTTCCTAACCGATATATATGGTCGTTTGCATTCCCCCCCGAAGTAGTCTCATCCGTAATAACTGCGTTTACGACGACGCTAATCATTCTCTATTTCCATGAAATAATCCCGAGGAATCTTATACTTTCTCGCAACGTGCTCGTGCATGTTGGAATTCGAGAAGATTCGAGGAGGATCGGTGAGAATCGGCGCGAAAGGGCGATCGATCTCTCGGTCAGAAACGACGTTAAGCGTTGCTCGATGTACGTCAAGCAATCAGACGTCGATGCTTGGGCTGAATTCTGTTATTTCGCTAGCATTCGAGGCACGCAGATCCGAGACTGCTTGGTGATCAATCAAGCTCAGGATTACGTATCTAAACGACAATCGCGATTGTAACGGAGACATATTGCATAATGCTCAGCTGCGTGATTCATCTTGTTTATATTAAATGCATCTATCGGCAGAGAGTGAATTTCATTTTTTGATCTGATACGGATGAGGTTTCAGTTTCACTTGTGACAACGTGAACTGAGAAATTTTGACGTTTGTTAAAAAATAGTGGTCCCACGTGATGCAAAAACTTTATGTTTCTACGAAAGTGTAAAGTCACATGTATTGGAAGCTGAAAAAAATGGAAACCGAGACGTTTCAAAAGCAATTCATCGTCTTATCCTCTCGATTTGATATAATGTTTGATTCATGTGTATCTTCTGTATTTATATGAGTCACTCAGACATCATGCTCTTTGAAATATCACTTGGAATTTATAATTATTTATACGTCCTTTAGTAAGTTTATTTATCCTTTAGTAAATATGTTTTCTAGAATAATAATATACCTGGATATCATGAAGTTAATAATTTTGTAAAAAGTGAAGCTAAAGATCAATTGGACTTATCTATTGATTTAATGAACTAGTGATAACCATAGTTAACTGCCATCTTTAGCTTCCAACAGTTCATACGTGTGAGGGTGAAGCAAGGAAAGCGTAGTTAAGCTAGACAGGAGATAGTTATCTCGTACAAGTATCAACTTCGACAAGGTTTAACCGGTTCTGCGGAGAAACGAGTGGCACGCAGGATCGGATCAAAGGGAACGACATTGAAAATTGCTTTTAATCTAAGACGTGCAACAAATCGCGAAGGATGATTGAATCGATTACGCGGTACAAAAGAACGAGACAGCTGCGTAACAAGGCAAGGCAAGTCCCGATATAAATCGCTTACTGTCAAACGCATTACGCTGCATACACGTTCACAAATCAAGCGGGGAGATCTAATTTGTTAGGAAATAAGAACGCAGATAAACGTCATGGGAACGAGGTGAATGAAGTCTTTACACGAGAACCTAGCATTATCATAATCAGAGGCAGAAAATCATGGATCTATCGATGAAGATTACTGATCTAAAATAAAACAACAGCGGCTCATGAAAGTATTTGAAGACTTGGAAAATGTATATGTATACATATTGTATATGTTGTGCAAAATATTTTGAAATTTCATTAGCACTATAATCAGTAGATTTTTATTGAAATAAAAATATAATTAATATAATAAATATAATAAAGAAAATAGCCCTAGAAAATTATTTCACATATTATGCAGATACCTATGTATGTTTTATATTATACACATTATATCTAAATATGCGTTTCAAAACTTTCTATAAATATATAAAAATCTGCAGTCTACTTGTTAATATAATAAATAATGGATGATTAAATATTTTATGGTCTTTGCAAATTATGACCTATATATTATACATTTCCAGATTTTTGTTTTATTGTGATAGTCTAAAATTTCAAAATATTGGTCGTATACGGTCCATATCAATATACAATTATATGACATTGTATACGGACCATATCAATATATAATTATATGACATCGTATACGGTCCATATCAATATGTAATTATATGATATCGTATACGGTCCATATCAATATATAATTATAACATATGAATGATAATATATATATATATAATACATTTGTAAAGACCAATTGAATATTTCCGTGAACCACTGTATTCATCTTTTACCTTGCTCATTTTGCGACAGAGTTTAAAATGTGATATTACATTGAGGATAAAAATGAAATTCAAAGAAGTGGCCGGGAAAGTAACATTGTTGCAAATTCTATAGAGATTATTATGACCTTTATAGACCACACGCATCGTTCCACTTCTAGAAAATGCCTAATACCAGTATAATGTCGCTCGTATAACAACCTGTTAACTCTATCATTATGCCAAGAATATACAGATGGAATTATTTGCTCGTTTCCGCGTAAAAGTGGAATCGAAGATGGAATTACAAGACCATCGTGTAATATCAACGATTTCAAAGAAATATACATAATACTGCCTCTAAATTATGAATTTGCGTTCTTCGAACATTTGCATCAGTCATCTACGTATACTGGCACATTTATAATGTTTGTACGAACATTCTTTCCTAAAGAAACTGGCGTTTTAAAGATTCTATACGAGTAGGTGTTTATATTTGATTTTGGATTACCAACAACCCAATTTGGTAAGTTTTCTAAATTAATAAATGGGTGTTAAGTGTTGCGACAGTCTTTAGGCTCAAATATGTAACTTTTACAAGGTAAGACACTTAACATCGTTGATATTGCAAAAGTACAAATTCCAAAGACTATTTTACTGAAACCATACGTTTCCAACTTACCAACGGTAACATAAATACATTTTTAAACATTTATCATTCAGTATATTAATTAATTTAACTCTAATAATATATTATTCTAGTATCTATTGTATTCTGTCTCTAATAATATTGTTACAATAACATGTTACAATAGCACCCAACAACTTCATCTCAAAACATCAAAATGTAAGCACACTATTTTTCAGTAAAATTCATTATTAAAAGAAATCATGTACTATTCGTTTTGACAACGGTAGACGCCTTGTCCCGTATCTAAATTACAATAATTACGAAGATTCATTGACAATATACCTGCTGATAATATCCTTGGCATTAATCGTCCGCGGTTTGAAGCTCATAGTGCACGGGAATCCCTTTCCTAGGTGCTTGAAAAATTGTCTCATGCGCCATTAAATACATCGGTAGCTCCGTAAACGCGCGGCGAAACCACGGGGAGCCACGTCCACCATTTCCGACTCTACGCTGCTGGCTTGCATTAAATTTCTGCATGGTGCGGTGGCAGCGTAGCATCTACGAGAGCTGCGGAGAAAAATATTGTATGAAGCCTCCTGGCATTTCCTGTACACTCCTTAGTGTATGCTAATGCGGGGGCCAACACATGGCCGGCGGCGTCTCGTACGTGTACAGCCGTGTTAACTACGTGATCGCGTGGGCGTACATGCCGCGTAACAGAATACAACGTCGATCAGCGTTTCTAACGAAAATAAAGCCATTCGCGTGCGAACGTCTCCGCGGGTATTAATGCCTGGTTTCTAGGAAAGGGCCGCTAACGACTAAACTGTCTCCGTGTAAATGTGATTCGATACGAATCAACCCAGACAGAAATATGATAATGGCGTACGCGATATTATAGCTAGCTCGAAACGCGTCTTTCCATAGCGCCATAACGGTCGCGGTTTCTCGACCGAGGGGTGGGGGGTGGATGTTAACCTATAATACTTTGTTGATATTTTTGCGGTTATGTTCCGTTAATAGTCCTTCTCGATGATACATGAAATATCATATGGGCTCAATGGCTGTACTTTGTTTGATTCTGTTGCTGATCAAACATATAAGAACGTTATTTAAAGTCCGTCAAAATGTCGTAGTAAAAGTACGAAATGCAAAAAAAAAAAAGGTATATCCTAATTTCACGCCATTGAAATTTTTAGGTGTTTAGATAATGTCAGAAATGAAAGATACGTACGTGCATTGAATTGACGTCAGTTTGTTGAGACGAAATGGATTCAAAATATGCTTGTTCGTTACCATTGGCTATTACTGTTGACACTTGTATGACAAACCTTTGTATATCATGAAACACTTGAATTATAATTGAACCTTACGTAAAAGGGACGAATTATAGAATGGTCTTTCGTTTCTTACCTGTTCGTTTCATGCAAAATTCGAGCAGAAACAAGCAGTGGTCAATTCATAATTCGTAATTCACTTGCGCGGCACGTATATACTTGAAAGACACGCCAGCAGATGGCGACCGCAACGCCGGCTCGAACGTTCGTGAAACGCGAATTCTCTCGTCCGTATGTTTAAAAACATTGTTAGTCGAGGTCGTCGTTACGGAGCAACGTATCTCGATTCAGCGAGTAATTTGAATCACCGTGGAAATCTAATACGAAAGGATGACTTCTCTTCGACGAGCAACGAAGATCCTCTCCCCGCTACGCGGCACGTTTCACGACTCGTATTCACGCGCCGCCATGTCGGATTTGTTGCTGTTGCAATATTTTACCCAGACGCCACTGCGCCTCGTCTAGCCGGTAAGATTTCAAACGACCAATAAACGTGGGCGCGTGTATTTGAAATCGCATTCGAGACGCTTCGAGAGATCGAGAATGTCGAGTGTGGACAGTGCAACAACGTATAGCGCAGCCGCGATACTTTCGTCGGTCGTGTCGTGCCTTCAGTGACTGTTAGCCAGTTATCGTCGTACATTTACGAGAACGGCCTCAATAATTACCGCCTTATTATCTGTCATGACCGAAATCGCTCGCCGTTGAAAGTGTAAAAAGCCTAACGAACTGCCATTGAGCGGCAGAAGTGAACGTCAACAGCTGTTCGCGTGTGCAGTATGTACAGTAGAGTATCTATCGCTTCGTTAACTAACCGTTGCTATTCTTATCAATTTTTGAGAGTCTCTGGCGTCAGAGATACGTGCAATGCAACGAATATCAAGATATTAGAGAGATCATTGAATCAGAGAATAATTAAATAATTAAACATATTAAATATATAATTTATTTTCTATTTGAGCGCCATATTGTAATAGTCGTTGGTAATCGTAACTTTTATTTAGCAATTTTATCACAGATCTCACTTAACTGAAAAATATATGAAGTGTCATCTATGGAAGTAATCAGTAATCAATGTAGGTGTCAAACTACTGGTAACAATTGACAATTGCAACTATCGATATTTCTGGTATTAGTCTTTAGTTCCAATTCTGGCCAGTTATTGAAGCGCTATTGTCCACGTAGCACGCACTAGTCGTTTTTCGACTGTGCGTTATTACAATCTGACAGATATTCGATTTTGTCGTGAAGAATTTACGTGGGTGAATCGTAATGAACGTGGCGATCCGACTAGTGACCTTTCAGATATGATGTAATTTCCTCGCGGTGAAAGACTCGAATCTGTTCGTAATCTGTGCTGAGCGCGCGCGCTCTATCATTTCTGGCGGGACAACTTTTCAAAGCGCGTCGCGGAAAAATTATTCGATTATTCGCATGACTGGCGATTGTTGCTGTCACGTATGCACGCAATACGCTCGTTAACTCGTGAACGTTTCTGAGCGGTTATACAGTATTTGTGTGGCTTCGCGTACGATTCGTCGTGAGTTTAATGATGAGTTAACTATAAACCAGAGAAGTGAGGTTAAGTGGAAAATGCGCACTGCGGCGCCACCGAGAGGCATCAAGCAGCTTCGTCGAACTGCGGGGCACGATGTTTCCTTGGACTACAGAAAACGATTGGTATGTCAGCTTCTGTGTCAGTTTTTTTCATTTGCACGCATTAATTTTTGTTCGTTATTGTACTCTTTATAAGGATAATCTTGCCTAAGGCATTTATACACTATTACGTTGTCCTTAATGCGAAAGTTAATGATGCAGTCTTCGCATGCATTTGTAGGCAATTACATTACCTTTTGTAAACACTTCTATCATAAATTACTGATTAATAATACGAGATATTTTAAATATAAATAACACGAAATATCTTAATGTTATCTTAGTATTATAAAGAGACTCGACTAGTTATATTGATAAAATTTGAAACAATTACTCATCATATTAATGAACTTCAATATTCAATGAGATGATGTTTTACTGATGTTGAAACTTGTTCATGTTGTATACTAATTTCTCCTTTGGCTTCAAATTTTATCAATATAACAATGATAATCGTGTTTTATTATGATGCTAATGAAATTTTAAAACCTTTTATATAAAACATACAATGTTATATAATTATATTAAAAATTTTCAATAATAAATATTCAAATATTCTCGTAATAGGTATAAAAAAATAACTGAACGTAAAAGAAAAACAGATCTATTCTTATCGCCTTGAACAATAAAACTTCTCTATTACTTGAAATCAGCCAAGTTTCACGTTTTCCACAAATTTGGAATAAACGTTTATTTTAAAATGGATAACTGACGAGTAATTAATGAAATAATCTGAAACATTATGCATTTCAAATACATAACTCCATCAACCTCAAATATTCCCTCATGATCATCATCGTATGCCTTTTCTGTTTCTAATTACGTTATCTGCGAGAGATTCGCCAGATGCTAGAATCTCGCGGATTCCACGCTGGATTTTCCATTCGACCAGACGCAGGAAAACGCTTCTTTCTCGTGGTTCGTGCATTGAAACCGGTTTCATTCCGTATATGCTTAAATCCAGTTTCCTTTCACCTTTACTCGAGAACTATCGGTGTCGTTCGCCGGTATCGTGGCTTATCAGGGTGTTTCGCGTTTGTTGGCCGAGCATAATGCTTATACGCGTTCCTCGTTTCGCTTCAGTCTCGTAATCGAACTTTCGTGTGGTCTTTATCGAGATCGCGACTCCATTAACGAAACACGCGTGTCTCGAGTATTCGTTCTCGAATAAAGCGTTGCCGATTGGAAACGGTTGTCTACCATTTTTATCTGGTCCACTCTTCTTAATCTCGTCGATTTGTTTGTATACGTTAACACAATGCTCCGAGATCGGCCCCGAAGATATCGTCAAGGTACATTGAGTTTCGTTCACGCTTTGCCTTTCAATCTTGCCGGACTTCGTCGCGAGTCCATGTTCAAATGCAGCGACATTTCTTTCGCTGTTTCTTTTTCTCACTGTACGGTCTTTTTTACGAGCTAATTTTTCGCGAATATCTTGAAGCCAATTTCCTTTTTCTTCTTTCTGTCGTTTTCTTACGAGATAATCGTTCCATTAACGCGACTTCAGTACGTGAAAGCAGTTGCGTCTGATCTTTTCCTCGAAGCATTTTCGAAAACACGACCGTATAACATTTTGTTATACAGATAAATGCCTTCTGATAAAATTAAATATGAATACTTGAAGAAACATTCAGTGGCTACGAAAAGTATCTGCTTTAGTTATTTACATTTTATTTTCCAATGATGTGCTTTCTTATCAAAGTTTACATTTCATAATATCATGTTTCCTCTATCGTATGAAAGTGCTATTAAATGATATGAAATTTAATAAACTTGAAGCTAATTAGTTAGCATGCAAATGTTACAATAAACACAGTGTAAATATGTTAGTGTACATATGTAGATATGTGTAAACATGTTAGTGTATATATGTAGTTACTGTACATAAGAAATTATGTTACACGTGGCGTGGAAAGTTACGTATTATATTTTTAATATTTTTTAAGAAAGGAGGGAGTTTGCAAAGAAAGTCAAGTAGACAAATACCACAAATATTAATATCGTATTTATTATGAACTTAAATACATGAAGATTTATGAGAAAAGCATAAAAAATATTAACAAGTGTACTTTCCAAACGATACTACCAACTTTTAACAATGAGTAGCCGTATAAGGAACGTAAGAGCTCTTGCGGAAGCGTCCTTGACGCTTTCACCTCTTTCTATTTGATATTCTAATGCGCTTTCGGCCTTCCTCAACCCTTGTACATTCCAACTTTCCGTCCCAACGTAAGTGTATTGGAATTCGAAAAATGAGTAGGTGGTGACATCAAGGACGCTTCAAGGTCACCGATATTTTTACGAGTAACATTCAAATTAGGTTCAAAGCGGACGCGCGTGTGTTGGTGTATGGAGTGTTTATTTGTAGAAACATAACTGACCGTGGAACCTCTTTAGCACCTCCACAGATAAACTCACACTTGATTTTCTAACATTTCTTTAGTCACTGGAGATTCCGTTCTATTTTCAAGATCTCGTGTCATAGATGTTACGATTTAAAAATTTTTTTAGTCAGTCAAGATCTCAATTCTAGAACTGAAGATTTAAATAGAGGAGGAATTTGTTTGATATTTTAAGAAATAGAAGTATCCGAGTGACTCGATGAACAGGAAATGGTTCTCCACACTTTACGTGACGAACGTGTAATTATAATCACATAAAATAACAAATGCGCATCTCTAATCATCTCCGGTGATTAAACAACAATTCGTTGATTCTAAATTGTCAATATTATGTAAATTGTTAGCCGTTGGCTGTTTCATAAAAACGATCGATTTAATACATTTGATATATAACGGTCACATATTGGAAATCTCAATCAGTATAAGATCAGCTCGAACTATCACCTCGCAAAATTCAGTAATGAGTATTTAAATTTTCATAACAGTAGTGAACCAATCACACTTGAAATAAAAAATTTTCCCGAGTAGTCAGAAAATAGAAATAGTAGGATGACAATCTTCATTCATGTTAATTCAAACAACTTAAAATTCCTGTGTTTATTTGACTGTTAAATATTTTTGTTCGACTCGAAATACTTTTTTCTATGATAACTTCAAATAATTATAATTCGAAAGATTTCTCTAATTTATTTATTTTTTTTTCCGGCTGAAAAGGTTTAAGTATCAATAATAATTCAATAATTTGAAAAGACCTTGCTACGTTACATAACGTTATTTCCAATTTCACACTTTTTCATATTTATCTCTCGTATTGAATCCAAACTAGTTACTTAGTATGCATAATTTTGTGTTCATAATTACGCATTTTTCTTGAATAACATTCTCATTAGAGATATCCATTATTCAAATTATGAGAGATTCACGTAAACGTAACTTATTCAAACGTGGCTTGGAAATATCAAAGGATCGCAACGACTGGAACGAAAAGAGGAAAATCTGATACGACAGTTAGCATCCGCTAGGAAGAATCGTAGAGGCGACCCGGCGACGCGGCGCCACAATATTCTGCATACTGTTGAATAACATCGCTAACGACGATGCGCGTTGAATTGGAGTACGTGTGCACCTTGTACGCGGCACGGTCGAGCGAGCCGACTGGAATGATCGATGCGACGTCGGTCGATCGATCGTTGGACGATCGCGAAACGCTCGAAAAATCGCAAAAACATCGGATCGTTCGGCGATCGAACGATCGAGTTCGTGCATCCGCCTACGCGTGTACCAGTTGCAGCCTTGGCCGACTGACGAGGCCGCGATTCTGTTTTTATTTCCCTCCCGCTCGCTGTTGATGCGAGCTCTTCCTTTTCACCTTACAGCTCTCTCTCTCTCTCGCGCGCAAAATAAAATTCCCCGCCATGCACGACGGTGTAATGGTTAACCAATAAAAAATCCCGTCGACAACGATAGTTGTCAAAGTAGATTAAAAATAACATTCGTTACCAGTAACCAAATGTGATAACGATCATTCG